TTCACTGTAATAAGCAGGGTGCTTAATTCAGCAAATATGGTACATATCATTACATTTTACTTTTGAGATTCTGTGAGTCTGTATCACAAGCCATCCATTACCTTTACATGACATTGATCATTGTTTCTGCACAACTCGATAAAGAACAAGAAAACAGTAACCCATAATGAAACAAAGTCCCAATAATAAACTCTTGGTTAGGACTGTCTGCATTCCGATCTTTTTTACATCTTAAATCTGGAAAGCATGACAATTCTCAGATTATGCAAATATTTTCATGAACTGATTTTCATTTTAAGATAACACACAAGATTTCAAATTTGAAACATTAAAACTGAAAAAATATTTCAAAGGTCATGAATTGATTTGCATTTTTAGATAAGACATAAGAACTTAAGGTTTCCACATTTCAAATATTAAAACTGGAAAAAATATTTCCAAGGTATCTCTGAACAGAAAAAAGTCATCCTGGTATTTCTAGCTGGTATTCTATGCAATAACACTGTCACATGTCACACATGTCCTATGGTAGAGTCAGGGTCACAAAATTTAATACCATTGTCAGTCATGCAGGTATTATATCTCAGCTCGGTCATTTAAATGATAAAACCCCTTGACTCCTTGACCACTATAGCTTGGTCTTGGGAGTGAAGTGTTGCCATCAGGATCATCACCGTCATCAATACCATCGTCACGCCGAAGACCCGGATTAGAATCCCCACATGGGTACAATGTGTGAAGCTCATTTCTGGTGTCCCCCGCCGTGATATTGCTGGAATATTGCTAAAAGCGGCGTAAAACCAAACTCACTCACTCACTCATCAATACCATATGAACTTAACCATGACAATGAGTGAGTGAGTGAATATAGTTCACGCTGCCTTTAGCAATATTCCAGCAATATCACGGCAGGGGACACCAGAAACGGGCTTTTACACATTGTACCCATGTGCGGAATCGAACCCGGGTCTTCAGCATGACGAGCAAACCCTGAACCACTAGGCTACCCCACTGCACCAAGATGACCATAAGATAAACAGCACAATGCCTCTCTTGTACATGAACTTTGAATACATCTAAATTTAAAATGACAGTAATATCAAAATGAGCTCTCAATATATCTAACCAAATTGGGACACAAGTCCCCAAAACTGGTAAGAAAAATCTGTATGCAACAAGACTTTGTATTTGTGACGATCAAGAACAAGGTGACATGGATTTCTGCTTCTGTACCCTTTAATTCAACATTTCAAGAGAAATGACAGTACCTTTTTCACTTCAATTATATATTAAAATGCCACATTGTAAAATGTTTATGAGTGATTTCTAGCAATATTCCAGTAATATCATGGTGGGGACACCAGAAATGGGCTTCAAACATTGTGCCCATGTGGGGAATCAAACCCATACCTTCAGCATGACGAGTGAACGCTGTAACCACGAGGCTACCCCACCGCCCCTGTTTACAAAAAGCACACTTCTAACAAACTGACGGATATAACGAACTGTATGGTTTTTTTCCTGTGTCTTTTAGTTGAAATGTGCATGACAAAATATGGCTATATAACAGGGTATATAACTCCCAAAAATTTCAGACAGACCACAGGGCTGGTTAGATGCAAAACTTGCCAGCCCAGGAGCGGATACAGCTTTTTGAGAAAGTGGGGTGCACACTATTGAGAAAAGGAGGGGTGCACATTTCATTTTCACCCTAATTTCAATGGTCATTTAACAAACTTTCAGCACAAAAAGGGGGTGCTCACCCCTGCACCCCTATGCAGCCCTGACCAAAACTTACCCGCCCACAAAATATCTTCATACTCATGTCTAAATCTTAACCCAACTGTTGGGCACGTGAATTTGAGAATCTGGCAGTCCGTGTTGAAAATAACCCGTCCTGGGCTGTCAGGCAGGCAGGGATTTCTAACGCTGTATAAAACAAATTAATACTAGTTGTGTTGTGAGTTTGTTATAATCATAGTTTAATGTATTGTACTGTGACGACCAGCAAATGTCACAATATGGTGAAAATGCTGTTTGTTTCTTGGACACTTCCCTTCATGTCATGAGATCCAAACTCAAAACAAAGGTATCATGTCAAATTGGTCAAGTGTTTATAACAGAATGGAGACAGGATAATCAATGCACAATCATACTGCACAATCATACTGTACAATCAGTTTTAAAATATCAGTATGGCAGTGTCAAATGGAAAATATTCAACAAACATTGCACAGCTTTACTTTACCCTATTCATATCCAAAGAAAATGTGCACCATTATGTCCTAAAGCAAATTCTGGGGGCCCTTTGAGGAAGCTGGGTTTAAATTCGCCTAAAGCAATATTCCAGCAACACTGACATGACAAACAGTTTTCATTGTACCCCAAGGGAAATCGAACCCAAACATTCAGTATGACAAGCGAAAACTTTATCCACCAGGCTACCCAGGTACACGTGAAGTAAGAGTTTAGTGAGTGAGTTTGTTAAACAGTAATCCTGCAATAAGCTAGCAACATAAAAGTATGGAACACCAGAAAGAGGCTTTAAATATTGTAATGATAAGGAAATGGAACCCATGCTCTCAGCTTCAGAAGTTAATGCTTTATCTACATAGCTAGCCCAGCGCAGCCAAACAAAGTGTGAGTTTACTATATTTGTCAGCCACTGCTACTGAAACGTATCCAATGTCCCTTCTGAAATAAACAATTTCAAAGAAGTTACGAAAAAAATGGCATTTAATAATACATAATATTTGTATTCTATCATGTTAACAAATAATCTGTCAATTTTGCATGCTTGGGATTGAGGCTCATTAATAAAATCGACATGCACATAAAAATAATGGTGCTAACAGGTTACATGCTTGAGATCACATGAAATTCTGTGGCCATGAATATTCAGTAGCACCCACACACCTAAATGATCATCACTGTACGTAACATTTGTACCAAACAATTTGGGGGAAGTGAATCACTAGCCGTTCAATTTTTGCCTGATGTTTTAGAAAACTTGGCTTAAAAATCCACTGACTAAAAAATTGAAAAGGTAAAAAAAATGTGTACTTGAAAAATGTATATTTTTTTCCATTATGCCCACCAGAAATGTGTAAAATTTACTGTTGTTATCAACAGAAATACTTTAAATGTGGGGCCAAAATTGTATAAGAATTTCAAAGGACAAAAAGAAAGTCTGCCATTATTTGAGTCACCTGCTGTGAAAAGGTACCTGTAATCATTGTAAATAATGTTTTGCTGGAAAGCATATGTTATTGTTGTAAAATAAAACTCTACTTTTGACAATGGCATTTTGTTGTTTGTTTAATGTGCACTCAGCAATACATAATCTGGACCAGACAATCCAGTGATTGATAATGTCAGCATCCATCCACATTATCAGGGTACAGTGACGACCAAATCTCAACCAAGTTACTGCGCCTGAGTGAGTGAGTTTAGTTTCACGCCGCTTTTAGCAATATTCCAGCAACATCACGGCCGGGGACACCAGAAATGGGCTTCACACATTGTACCCATGTGGGGAATTGAACCGGGGTCTTCGGCGTGATAGAGAGTCTGAATGTCTGTGATGACCGAATGAGTCTGGATTCTTTTACCTACATATATGTTGTCCTACAAATAGCATTCAAGATTGCCATGGAAACAATACATGCTTTATAACTTCATTTCCAGCCTTCAAGAACAAAATTAAACATGAACAGTTCTGTAGTTGAATAGTATAAATAAGGAACAATGTATTCCATGCAAGATAAATCGTTTCTGTTCAAATCAATATCCACAACCAACAAGCCAGTGGTCTGAGTTGAAACTGATTTGACAATATAAGGTATTATTATCCACATGGTGAAACATTACCAGTGTCATATATATCATATGCGCACATATCACTTTTGCCTAGCAACCATTATTTCTGTATTTCGACGTCTGTGACGTCATCAAACAATTGAACGTGATGTCAATGAAGAGGGCCGACACACTTGCTTACTGTGTTTTACTGCACATATGTACATGAATAAAATGGCTAATAAGAAATTATTACACTAGAGCAAGTGTGTCACATGACAAATACTGTGATACTTACTCCTTTTGTAGCGCCTTGAGCGAGCATTGAATGCACGGATATAGGCGCGGTTACAAATACCCACTATCATTATTTTATTTTTTTTATTATTAAATACGAACCTTGTGCACTCGTCACACTCGTTTTGTACAAGTCATATGACACACTTGCTCATGTAATAATCTCTATATATCACCTGTATGATGATTGTAGGAGGAAAGCGTGATGTACACCGATCATGTTTATCATGGTGCTGATAAATGAAGGTTCATAATAAGTGCAGATCCTAGCAAAGCTAAGGGACACAACTCCACAGAGCATACAACTATTTGGCTGCCATGCCCCTGAGTAAGTAATGTGAAATGGTGTTCTATAGAAATAAGGTCAGGCGATACCAAGAATGGTTATCACTTCGCCCTGATCTGAAATATCAGCATTCAGTCCCATGTTGTAGCATCAAAAAGTCATCTTGATGTTAGTTTAAATATCAGACAATATTAATATTAAGAACATTTTTCGCACAGCTCATTCTCGCATTGATTTGGTACACACAAGACACGTACAATATTCATATTACATGGCACAAATAAATAGTTTTACAAGCACTTGAAATTCTGAAACTGTCCATCTAACATATGTTCTCTCTCGGGGTATGACTTCCGTATTTACATATGAAGTTAGTTGTCAGGTAGTCACAATACTGAAAAAGGTCCCACCCTTGTCAACTTTCCAATGCACAACATACTTAATATCCACTCCAAGCTCATTCCTCACGCAGTAAAATTCATCATACTGACTAAAATAAATACACACTATTTTCCTAAAAACTACCATGCAGACATCCTTGCTCTGAAACTGTACAAACATTACACATGGATTTACCACACCTGCCCTTTAAACAGATTTGAGGTATGTGACAATCACATCAGTTTTGCATGTTTATTTGGAATTCTGATAGTATCATCTCCATCACGACACATCGGCTGCAAGATGGACGACCGTTTCCATGGGCTCCTCATCATCTTCAGCGTCAGCATCTACCTTCTCCTTGACCTTCTCGTCCAAGACATCTTCTCGGGGCAGTTCCATCTCCTCCTCCTCCTCCTCCTCAACCTCCTCGGGCTCATCCTTTATCTCTTCCACAGTGACCTCAATGATCTCTGCATCCTCAGGTTTGGTCTCAGTCTCTGTGGAATCTGACGCCTCCTCGCTTGCAGAGTTTGAAGGTTCTTTGGATTTTTCTTCGGGTTCTTCTTGGAGTGTAGGCTTTTCGTTTGGTGCTGCTTGAACCTGTAATTTAGGAATGGGAATTTAAAACCGGAATATCATCATACACTTATGTGTAAGCTATCAAAATGTCAATCCCATTTTATATGTCCCACATTCATCTACAAAAACCTTAGCCTCAGAGTCCTTAACAAAATGACAGTCTTCAAAATTCATGCTCGTCTGCTAGCCCGGGACTACTATAGTGTCCTGCAGACAAGCAAAAATCCAATGATGCTTGACCTCTCTCCCAGTTTCATATGATGAATAAAATTCTGAAAAAGGCCTTAATGTGGCAATTATGCATCAAACAGGAACTGAATAGAATGTGCCGAAATGTAAAGATAGCAGATATTCGTGAATAGTGTTTTATGCCACATTCAGCAATATCCCAGGTATTTCACAGCAGCTGCTGACTAGGTAAGTGTGAATGGTCTTATGTCACTTTTTGCAATTTTCCAGCAATGCCATGGCGGTGGTTCAGTGAGGCTTCACCCATGACAAGAATCTAACACAGACCTTCAGTTTGACAAGTGAACCCTTTAACCATGACGTTACCCCTATGCACCAAATAGCCTCAGATTATAGGTCATCCCCAAATCACCGGATCCTGCACTGGCTAAGAGATGTGCTCAAGGCATTGCGAGACCTAGACTAACAACTAGTCTCGGAAATAAACATATTTTACAGATAAAAAGGCTCATAGTGAAAAAAAACCCAAAATATAATAAAAAGGAGCCCTGAGACTTTCTTCATTTTCAGAAGCTGTGGAAATCTATACTTGCCACATTTTCTATACTTGCGTGGGATTTCTTGGATATATTTGCTTCAGGGTCTGTATGACAGACTATGCTAGGCCTTGCAATATACTACATGACTATAGACTCAAACACATCAAAACAATGAGAACCTGTGGTTCATGTGAGCTAAACTTTGAATACATTAAGGCATAAGTTTAGTATTTCAATAGACATGTTCTATACATCTACTAAACTTGCAAAACAGAAACTTTTGTGATCTTTTGTAGATGAAACAAAATATCACGAACATAATGAAAACATGCTGTCAACAACATACACTGACATCCTCCTGTAACAGACTATCATGCGAAATGAAACTAAATAAAACGACCAAAATACCATGCAAAAAACCACGGAACTCATCTCTACATGTTGTTCAACAACCAAATAAACAAAAATGACCTGCTCAAAACCATGTACCAGTAATCCCAGTACATTTAAAAACAAAAACAGAAAAAATATCTCCAAATATTTTAATGCTACAACTATTGAAATTACTGGACACCGAAGTGAATGAGGGTATGCACATACTGTACAAAATGTTCTATTCTCCTGACAACATTGATGAAACCACATACCTGAGTTCTTACCAAGGCAAGTGGAAATAGCACAGACCTGTATACAAATGGGAACCATTTTATATGCTTGTTTGTTGTTGATGCCTCACCAGCATTATTCCAGCTATATTATGGCAACATCTTGTAAAGTATAGTGAGTGAACGAGTATGGTTTTATGCTACTTTTAGGGGCAGTGGGGTAGCCTGGTGGTTAAAGCGTTCGATCGTCACGCCGATGACCTGGGTTCGATTCCCAACATGGGTTCAATGTGTGAAGCCCATTTCTGGTGTCCCCCGCCGTGATATTGCTGGAATATTGCTAAAAGCGGCGTCAAACCAAACTCACTCACTCATTATGCTACTGTTAGCAATATCCAGCAATGTCATGGCGGGGACACCAGAAATGGGCTTCACACATTGTACCCATGTGGGAATGACTAGCCAACGCTTTAACCACTAGGCTACCCCACTGCTCCTCTTGCAAATTAAGTCTGGACAAGACGATCCAGTGATTAATGTTAATGCCACACTCAGCGTATTCCAGCTATATTACGGCAGCCTGTTATAAATCAAAATCCAGACCAAACAATCAAGTGATTGATATTGTATACAAGGACACTTTATAGGCAAATGTTAGCTAGCTTAAAATTTCTATTAAAATTTCACAACTATGGCAACTGACGTAACATCATAACAATGTTTCTAATGAATACCATGGAAAATGCAATACCACCATACCAGAGGTAAGGAGGTGAGGTGAAATTGGGTTTAACGTCGTGCTTGAGAATATTTCGCTCATATGACGACGTGCATGCATGTGTATGTGTATGTGCGGCTGATTGTACTAGCCCAGACGTAATCTGGTTTTATAGTGCTTGCCCACTGAGATACCATGCCGCAGTGAAGCATGAATACCCCACTCAGACACATTATACTGACTCCGAGCCGACCAGTCCTTATTGTACCCATTAATGCCGAGCGCCAGACAGGGACCAACAATTACCAAATTTTAACGTCTTTTGGTATGATGCGGTCGGGGATTGAACCTGCGACCTTCCACTCTCCGGGCAGACGCTCTAACCACTACACCACGGAGGCGTTCACCAGAGGTAAGGAAAGTACAAGTCAATGGATGCTTGATGTTTGTAATTAAACATAAATTATGGTATGGACATTTTATGCATTAAGAGTGACTTAGTGAATTTGTTTGTGAGTTTGGACCAAGGATGCTTTGAAGAGTATTCCAGATCTAGGTATGTCATAGAATGCATGTTGTCATGGCAACAAAATCATACTCTTAACCTACCAAGAGACATATTGCATGACCACGTAACACTATTGACGTTCTCTCATTACAGCTAAATGGCAGGCATGAAATGACAACATGTAATTTGCCTGATGAGGATCACATGAACTGAGCAATGGAAAGATCAAATCAATAAATTATTAGTGAAGCTCTTGCCATTGTTCAGTGCACACATTAAAATCAAATCCAAAACAGCTATTTTCACTTAAGATGAAAGTCCCTGAGTGGTTCCATAAGTGAAAGAATAAATAAATAAAATCATGATGAAAAATCATTAAACATGAATATTTAATCTTCCACTTTATGTATTTAATTGAATTCCACAACGGGAATGAACACAATCTAAGACTGAAAAGTCAGTTCAGAAAATTAGACAAAAACACAGAAACAGGTACTTTTAATGCTAACCTTGCATAAGAGTGAGTGAGTGAGTTGAGTTTTACCCCACACTCAGCAATATTCCAGCTATATGGCAGCAGTCTGTAAATAATCAAGTCCGGACCAGACAATCCAGAGATCAACGGCATGAGCCTTCGATCTTCGCAATTTGGAATCAATGACATTCGTCAACCAAGTCAGCGAGCCTGACCATCCGATCCCGTTAGTCGCCTCTTACGACAAACATGGGTTACTGAAGATCAATATTCTAACCGGGACCTTCACGGGTAAAACATATAAAGAACAAAGTCTAGGCGACATGATCGACAGCATGAACATGTATCCTGGGTTTAACACATGTGACACATCGTAGTCACCTGTTCAACAAAGTGATCTTGCGCTTCATCTATCCTTTAATAACAAAAGCAATAAAACTGTGTCATAATCATAAGAAATTCACTGATTCACAAAAGCGATTGTATGGTTCCAGAATGCTGACAAGCATTTGTTTATGAATCACTATCAAGTAGTGACTATGATACTTGGTGTTTCACGGACCCAGCTTGATGGTTTACATCATCATGACAGCTAGAATACTGCTGACTAAAGTGTTCAGTAACTTACACTCACTCGCCTATAGAATCACACACTCACTGACTCCCACACCCATTGACTAACTCACCCATAGGCTCACACACTTTCATTCACACTTACCCATAGACTTATGCTCTCACCCATCCGCTCACTCGTCCACTCACTCATCCATCCACTCACCCATCGATCCATCCACTCACTCACCCACCCGCCATCCATCCACTCACTCACCCACCCATCCACTCACAGACCCATCCATCAATCCACTCACTCACCCACCCACCCACTCACTCACTCACCCACCCATCCATTCACCCATCCATCCATTCACCCATCCATCCATCCATCCACTCACCCACCCATCCATTCATCCACTCACCCGACCATCCATTCATCCACTCACCCGACCATCCATTCATCCACTCACCCACCCATCCACTCACCCACCCATAGGCTCACATGCTCACCCATCTAGTCACCTATCCACTCGCTCGCCAATCCAATCACTTACCCAAACATCCACTTGCTCACCCATCCATCCACTCACTCATCCACCCACCCACCCAAACATATCCACTCACCCATCCCCCCACCCACCCAAACATATCCATTCACCCATCCACTCACTGACCCAAACACATCCACTCACCCACCCACCTGAACATATCCACTCACCCATCCACTCACTTTAAAGTTTCCTCAAGGAAGGGTCACTCTTCCAAGATCTACGTCTCGCACTTTGACCTCAGTGTCAGTGACATGAACAAGATTAATATATTCAGTTTCCATGCTTGAACTTCATGCCATGCTGTGAATAACTGTGAAATTCTGTTATGGCTACATTCCAAGGCTTGTCCAGAAGTTGGTGAACATGTGTGGTTGATAACAGTCCACAGCACTATTGTCACCACACATAGATTACATTTGACGAATACCCCCGATATATTATTCAGTGTAGACTCATGTCACATTGTGATATTGTTTAGAAATATGAAGAAGATGTGCAAATGAGGACTGATGGAAGACTTCTCCGACCTTTTTGACCTTGGGGAAGACTGATGAAATGTCCGATCTTTTTGATACAGAAACATCGCACTCACAAAATAAAACAGGTTTTTATCTCTAAATTTATCAGTATTGTACTTCCCAACTTCTCACATGCCAATCAGAGAAGTCAGTATCTTTTGGATTTTAGTCATGTCTGACTGCAGAGTTTCTGTTATCTGGTATATACCAGACCAGTACAAAGTTAGAATATCCGGTAATTTCAAAGCGCTGTTGGTCATCGTGTCTGGCAAATTTTAAAATAATTTTTTTAATTACCTCTGTCAATTATATTTCTCCTTGAAAAAGATTACATTTTCACAATGACATCGAGGTGTTGTCAAATAAAAAATAGCAGTTTTGGAAAACCTCAGGCTAAAAATAGCAGTATCGATGCATTGCGATACCCTCTACATTTCTGTGCACAATGAAAAGCGTGATCACTTGACCAGTAAAATTTACAAATGACCGGTATTTGAAATGCCAGTGGAAACACTGGACTATCAGAAGCCACTCTGACATGTTTCTGACCTAACTAGCCAACAGTGTTCATTCCAGCCTTTCCAAAAAGTGAGGCCATGACCCACCAGCCCTCAGTTATGTGGGTCACTTAGAAAAAATTGGTCCTACCAAACTGCATTCTCGATAATCTCCAGGGTATAGTTACGATAAATCTCCACTAGTACCCTGAATGCATCTATGGCTCACCCCGATAATTATATCACCTCCCTTTGCTGGCTCTGCATTCTCACAGTAGCCAATCAGCTAAGCCGCCGTTACAACTGAGCTTGCCAGTGTCAACAAAGACAGCGGTCGCAGCCTTGAGGGTTTGTGCACAGTGCGACTCAGATTTGGGGGGAAATCATACAGACAAATTGACAGGTCTGAAACCTTAAAAAATATATGTAAGAACTCTTTCTACGTCTTTCAGAGTACCTCTGCAACAATTATGTTGCCAAGTTTAATCGGTTAAATGAAAGAAGCGAAAGTGAGCTGTGATTAGTACGCTCAACTTCCCAGCGTAGACACCTGATTGGATGAAAAGCGAGCCAAGGGAGGTAATAAAATCATGGGGCTGAGCCATAGATGCATCCAGGGTATAGTGGAGAGGTATCGGAACGTATACCCTGGAGATTTATCAGAGGAGGGTCAAACTGTTGTGACATGTCAGCCATACAATTGTAATTACCAGTATGAGTTAGGGAGTGAGTGAGTATGGTTTTACGCTGCTTTTAGCAATATTCCAGCAATAACACGGCGGGGGACACCAGAAATGGGCTTCACACATTGTACCCATGGGGGGAATCGAACCCGGGTCTTCGGCGTGACGAGCGAACGCTTTAACACCGCCCCCAATTACCAGTATGAGTTCCCTTACTTTTTTATAACTTTCAATCAAGTCAAGTGTATTGTTGGTTTTTTCCAAGCCCTACTTAGATTGGAGTTTTCCTTGCTTGCGTTTCATATTTACATTAACGGTTGCGCGGACATGACCCTCTTGTACCTGAACAGGGCACCATGTTAAATGTTAGTGCATGAATGACTCAACAGCACAGCCTGGAATGAACACTGACCCATGGTATTACATCATCAGTCAAATGATTCACCTTCCTCAGCCACTTAACTCCAACTCACTCCAACTACCCTACAGAGGACAGTCCTCTGCGTGACGCTGCAATTCAGCTGCATCTTGTTCCACATCTAACACACATCAAACACTTTAATTCTGAGCCTGTTTATAATCTAATCAATAAAACAACCCTATTGTATCCCATTACCCATCCAGGCCACAGGTTTTCACTGGATCACGGAGTGTCTTTCCAAGCAATAGGTTATTGTTAAGTTCAGGGGCGGTGGGGTAGCCTAGTGGTTAAAGCATTCACTCGTCACGCCGAAAACCCGGGTTCGATTCCCCACATGGGCACAATGTGTGAAGCCCATTTGTGGTGTCCCCCGCCGTGATATTGCTGGAATATTGCTAAAAGCGGCGTAAAACCAAACTCACTCACTCACTGTTAAGTTCAAATGTGAAGGGGCTTCAAAAGATCCTGCATTAAGATGCCACAATGTTACAGGACAAATCCCCATTTGTAAAGGGTCTAATGTTTCTGAGTATGAGCAAAGATGACGTCTGTAACATTCTATATGTCCCATGAGAAGAGCTTCAGATAGCAGGGTTTGAAATACCCCATATATTAGTGTGCCATGGCACGGTAAATATTGAAATGACACAGCTGAAAAATGTTCTCGGGTGCCCTTTTGACATGCCTAATTTTCTGGAGACATAGCTCACATTTAGTCATTTAATCCTCCAAACAATTATTTTTTACCAAACTGAATAATACCATACATATTTGAATGCTCATAAACTCATTTCTTTATTTAACAATAAATTTCAAATGATTATCATCATTGTCATTTATTCTAAAAACATGTGGGCATACTTGATTTCTGAAAGGCACACCTAAAATATTTGTCTGGTGCCCTAAGGCACACTTAGAAAAAAAAGTATTTCTATCCCTGGATAGCCATTTTTTTATCCTTGGAACCCCGAAATTATTACAGTCCCATGTACTTAAAATAGGCAAACCCAGGTCATCTTTGGATTTACTGAGGAGCTACAACTAGTGCACTATGTTCCATATTCATCAACTTAGGGCAGGTTTCAAACAGTGAGTAAACGCTGCAGTCCGCAAAAATACAAGCCAAGTAGCCTTCAAATGGATAATTAGTTTAGTCTGGCTCTAACATAGACATGTCAAAGTGAAAACAAACCTATGTAAGTTCTTTACTTAACAATGAATAAAAATGATAACCTGACATTTTATGGGTGAGAGTCGTCACTATCGCGTAGGTTGCCATTGAGCAGATGGCCAAAATAGAAATAAATCATTTACTTCACAGGGATTTATCTAATCAGAAGCTGACAATCAGACCAAAGTCTTGAGCAAATGTCAGTAATTAGTACAAAATTGTAATTTATTCATTCCTGATTCATGTTAATGTAGTCGTTGGTTTGTCGTTTAACGCCACACTCTGCAATATTCCAGCTATATGGCGGCAGTCTGTAAATAATCAAGTCTGGACCAGAAAATCCAGTGATTGATAGCATGAGCATCGATCTACACAATTGGTCTTACACCCAATCCCGTTGGTCGCCTCTTACGACACACATGGATTGTTGAAGACCAGGGTGCTGTTGTTCAAAACAACCTTAGCGCGCTAAGGCTACCTTAAGTCAGTGCTAAAGGTTAGTGGTGATCCGATTAATTGAGTTATCGAAGATTGGTCGCAATGACAAAACAACCAAGCAATCGATCATGTTTTCTCATAATCGAACACAAACAATTTTGGAACACTTGTTTGCAATAACAATATTTTTCAAAAGGTTGATTTTGTCTCGACATTGCATAAGCACTACAAGCTCGTTTCAAGTCATGATTAAGTTTATCTTAACAACTCCAGGAAATGTATGTTCCTAACACACTAGTCATCCTTTAAAGATGTGAAATTTGCAAATGCATTTTGTGCAATTTGTGAAAAACCCGAGAGAACTACATGTTTTTTCTTTATTTTTTGTGCATTAACAAACATAACCAGGAACATTTGATAATTGACGCTAACCAATTATTTTCGATGATTGATCGGTTGTAATGAACCAATCATCATTTATGAGATTTACACCAATTCCCAACACTACTAAAGGTATCAGGATAACTGCCCCCGAGAACTGCCCCCCATCCATTTTGTTCAGTATCCTTGATGTATCTGTTTCATACATCTATTGGCCAATGAACTGAGAAGAGACACATTTTCATTAGTTTTCCTTAGAATAATTTGCAGGGTATGGTAAAAGTCGGCCAACATTGAAAATCCCTACTCTTTAAAGCTTTCAACCAAACATATGCTACACAACACTATCAGTGTCAATAATATCAATATGACCACTCAGATGTATCACAATATATTGATTAATAATGAAATTAGCTTTCTTGAATGTACACGCAAATATTACACGTTGACTTGACATTAATCAATTTAATGCTTAACATGAAATAGGCTGGTTTTGTAAATTATTTTAAATATTTTCTGCTTTCTCATTCTTCATTGTAACCATCATCTTACAGTAAACGTTTCTGTGGCAGGGAAATAAGAATTGATTATAGACATTTATAAATTCATAATTTTGTAGCCATACAGCATCACTGTTGCATCAGCATTCATAAATACATATCGATCAATATTGCGATATACGATGACAAATAAACTACACTATCCACTAAACAAGGTTGTATCACATCCATGCACAGCTTACCTTAATATCAAGAGGATATGTCACATATTTCTATAATGAGGAAAAACAGCAGAATGTTAGTGAAGGTTTAAGCAGTTGTGTGGGGAACAGTGCTGGGTTGTGATTGAGGTTAGACGAGGAAGAACTATTAAAAAAGAGAACGATGTGACAGTTAGAATTGATTCAAGTTGATATACACTCAAGGCCTTTTGCAAGGGACTTTAGAATTCAACTCTAATTTGAGACAATGTTATTTTTAATGACTTGCTCTAAACAATATTTACACGTAGAAATTACAAATTTGTAAATTGTTTTCCCTTTATCCATAAATACATAGTATTTTTTTATGTTCATCCTTCAATATGAATTTCTGCCGCAAGATCACTCAATTGTGTTAGTGGGAGTGAAAACAATTGATGGAATAACCACAAACAAACAAATATGTCACTCAAACCTGAACAAAGCTTCAATCTTTGATCAATTACCTGATTTCTGTAACTTTAAGAAACAGATGAGACATATATTACATACTGTCATTAAAAAGTGACCACAGAAAGCATGAATGTAATAACTTTGCATTGTTATTGGTTCTTCCATCAGTTATTCACACCCCCTTAATTTATCAACCAAATGGAAGAAGTTCAAGGTATGAAAACTATATGAAATGAATCTACAAATATTGGATGAAAAAAAACACATTAAATTTTGTAAAGAAGTTGAAATGCTATCTAGTCATGTCTGCAAAATGTATTATTGAAAAAACATTGTCTCAGAATGTCGACAGGCTTATTCAACCTTGAATTGCAGATGATCTTGATGGCTGACATGTAAGTGCTGAATATCCTCTATACCAGCTGTGACAAGCTGCCTTGAAATAGGCAGTATCCACCATGAATAAATGAATAACAAAGTGAGATGTTGAAATAAATGAAAATGATATAATACCTTTGTGGTGATTTCCGCAAAATCATACCCTGAAAATTTTGAACACAAAACTCTTGAAATAAAAGATAGGATAGATTACTCGAGTTATAGGATTTTCAAAATGATTCTCACCTCGAAGTGGTTTCCAATCAAGTGTTGCATTTCATGTCGGACCAGCGTCTCTGAGGCAGTGAACTCGCGGTCACAGTACTGACAGATGTATGGGTTCGGGGGATCTTTGGCTGAAGAAGGACCAGGAGTTGGTTCAACTGGGACCACAACTTCGGACTCCTCTTTGCTGGTACTGGGCTGCGGCTCGTCCACTTTCATCTCCACATCTGTTTCCCTCTCTTCTGAAGCTGCTGCCTCCGGAGGTGGAGGATCAGGCTCTGTGTCTTCCATCTTCGGCACGGTTTTCTTCTCTTCGGGTTCAGCCTTGTCCTCTTTGGGCTGTGCAACTATCTCCTGTGTCCCGTTGTGGAACTTTTACGCTACCTCAATGGCCTCTGAAATGTCAGGCTCTTTGCACTCCTGGGCTCTATCTGTTTGTCCATTCTGAGCCAGCCAGTCAGAGAGCTCCGGCAAAGGACAGAAGTGGACACGGATGTGCTGCGTAAGGAGATACTGCTTTGAAACACTGTAATCACAGTACGGACAGGCAAGATCGCTGCGGACCATGTGGAATTTCAGATGAGCAATGAGGTGATCTCTTCGAACATTTGCATATGGACATCGATCACATCTGTACAACTTCTTGGGTTCAAACTCAGCTTCTGGTGGAGCATTTTCATACAGATCAAGATGATCGTGAATAACACTGATTGTGATTGGCTCCTTGGTGTCTATAGGAGGGAGGGCACTTGCTAGAGCAACATCTGCCGGTACATGTGCTAGATGTTGTAAGTTTGTCAACGATTGAGCTGCAAGTAAGTTCTGGTTCGGCATCATGTGCAACTTGCGATGCTGTGCCAGGAGATTGTTTGAAGGAACACTGTAATCGCAGAAGTCACACGTGAAGCGTTGTTTGCTTCCATGCAGTTCTGAATGACGTCCGAAGTGAGACCGTTTCGCACTTGCATAGGGGCACTTCTCACAACAATACTTCTTGAACCTGGCTATTTCTAAGAGAGTATCAACTTTATGCTCCTGCATGATTTCAGTTGTATCTGAACTCCGATCATCATCATCATAAACTCCAAGGCCTTCTTGCTTGGCATGATCAGCTACCAGATTGTCATTGAAGTCGGGAACATAGTGCTGCTGATGCACCTTCAGGTGATGGGAGAGGAGTCCCTTAGCTCCGACATAGTAGTCACAGTGAGGACACTTCATGAGCGGGTGGTCACTCTTCCTGGCACCATGCATCATCTCATGGAGCTTCACATTCCTGTTCCGGATATTTGTGTACGGACAAAACTGACATCGGTGTAGTTTCTTGTATGCACCATTCTTCATTACATAGCCAGGACGAGTGCCCACAGAGCACTGCGTGGCAATCTTCATGGGTGACACTGATGGGCTTGTGGACAAACTTGCAGTGATCTTCGAACCAATCAGACGCTGTTTCAAGGAAGCTACTTCGACAGCATCAAACAGAATACTTGCATCAGACATTTCTGATTTACATGGTGAGGCTTGAAGAAGAGTCAACGGAGGAGGAAGCATCACCTCTTGTTCATATTCCTCGTGTATCTTCATGTGCTGCTTGAGAAGTCGACGATGAGTCACCCAGTAATCACAATGCTCACATTTGAACTCAGCTGTTGGCTTCGGTCTGTGAAACTGTTTGTGATACAACATGTCATTCTTACTGTTACTCTGGTAGGGGCACTGTGGACATTTATGCTTCTTCGGGGTAACAGCAACGGATGGACTTGCATTCTTCTTCTTAGGGGTGACATTTGGTGATTTCTGTCCTTTGGGCCAGCTCTTCCTGTTGGTGTGCAGCCTCATATGTTGGTGGAGCAGCCTTGGGGCGCACACATAGTAGGGGCAGTATTTGCATTTGTACTTGTTGACAGCTTGAGGCTGATGGTAGGTCATGTGGAAATTCAACAGTCCTCGTTTTGTGGCTTTGTAGGGGCAGATGCTGCACATGTACTTCTTTCCCCTTTCATTGGGCGACTCCTCCTTCATCTGATCCTCCAGAGGCTGCAGCTCCTGCTCAGCCGGCACCTCCATCCGTTGCCGCTTTCGAATCTTCAAAACCTGGCTCTTGTCATCAACTCCATGTTTTTCTCGAATGTGACGATAGGCAAGATAGTCCTTAGGAGACTGGAAATTGCAGATTCTGCATAAGTATGAGTCAACATATTGCTCTGTAATGATGGTCTTGCCTTGCTGAACTGGGCTGTTCCCTAAAGCAAAGGCATCTAAGGTGGTCTGGCTGCTGCTTCCTCCAGCAAATCCTTTCCCATATTTAATGAGGATCTTGGTATAGGTGGGATAGTCAGTCTTGCCATGAGTGCATCTCAGATGTCTGTACAAGGCACTTCTGAAGTTGCTTGAGAAAGAACAGAGACAGCATGTGAAGGGCTTCATGTTGTGCTTTTGCATGTGACGGATAATGTGAGACTTGACAGTCGCTTCAAACGGACATTTGCAACATTTCCACACTTTCTTCATATCAGTTCCAGTTTTTTTCTTATACGTTTCTTTTTTCAGGTTCTCAATAGAAGCATCAGAAGCTGCTGGTTCCCTGGAGGTTCTGTCGTAATAATAGCTTGACAAAGTCTCCTTAGCCACTTTATAATCCAAGAGAACAACTTTCGTCTTACTGTGACGATGTCTCCTCTTGATGTGGCGGCCTATGTCAGTTCTCCAGTTAGACCTGTAAGAACAAGACCCACATTTAAACCTCTTGCAACGATCCAAGTCCTCATTCATTCCACTGACCTCAGCGTCTGCTTCAGTTACAGTTTGTTGTACTTGAGCTTCTAATGCTCGGATTTCTCTCATAGGATTTCCTTGTTGAGGTGAACACTCTGCATGGTAGGTTTCTCTTGCAGTCTTCAGGTCCAGCATTATTACATAACCTCCTTCGCCAGAGTGCTTGTCTCGGAGATGCTTTTTCACATCCCATTTCCAGTTGGACCGTCTTGAGCAGACGGAACACTTGAACGGCTTACAGTACCCATGGGTCTTTGGATCACTGTACTTGGTGTTCTCACCATATGCTGTTCCCTTGCCATCGACGGTGTGTTTCCCACTCGAAGACTGATGGTTGTAAGATCCGGTGTCAACCCCAAGGAGAGGAGTGGTGTTTCCTGCATAGACAAACTCTCTGCCATCAGGTACATATATCAGTTTCACCTCTTTGTTTGGATGGATATAGTGGTAATGTTTCTTAATGTCCCCCTTGATTGCACCTCTTTTCCCACACTCGACGCACATGTAGGGTTTGTCCATGTCAGTGTCACCAGAGGGCACTGGCTGACGGAAGGTGTTCTTCTTGCTAGGAGCTCTCAAATCGTGATGTTTATTGCTGGGGGGAGGAGGAGCCATGGACTGTTTCTCTTCTCCCTCAGCCTTAGAAGAAACATATCCATCAGGGTCTCTTTCCTTATCCTTCTCTTTAAGGAATATTATGCTGCCTAGCTGCCCATTGTGGATAGTGCGCAGGTGCTTGCTGACACTCCAGCGGAAATCTGATCGGAATGGACAGAGTGAACATTGATAGGGTTTCTTCATCTTCACTTCACCGGACTGAGCTTCCAGCTTAGCAGCAAGCTGTACATTAAAGTGGTGCTCGCGTCGAACATTTGGCTGAGTGTCAAGGTAGTCCTGTATTGTTGCTTTAGCCTCTTCCAGGGACAGAGTCTGAACGTCAGCATTTGATTCCGGATGATCCTTTTTCATATGCTTGCGGACATCCCATTTCCAGTTGGATCTTCGACCACAGATGGGACATTTGAACTGCTTAAGGTTGAAGTGAGTCGCAATGTGAGCCTTCAGCTTGGATGGGGCATTGGTGACAAAGTCGCAATGGTTACATTTCGATGGAGTTCCATGAATATCTTTCTGAGGAGAGGCACTGGATGTGGTACTCAGGGAGTCGGATTCATGATCATCAATGCTTGTGTTTATCGGTTCAGGAATTACCAAAGAGGTGGAATCATCAGGGTCGATACTTTCAGTCAAATGCAATGATTTGTGAACTCTGGATTTAACAGCCTTCCTTTCCGGTCTCACAATCATGTACTCTTTAATGTTGACATCTTTTGTATCTTTGGGCATCAGGTCAGCATGGTGACGGAAAATGTGACGACCAATGTCTCCCCTCCAGTAGGTCTGGTAATCACACTTACGACACTGGTAGGCCTTTTCTTCCTTATGCATGTGGGAATGCCGCTCCATCTCAGACTTCCATTTTGTGGTGAAGCTGCAAGCTGGACATCTAAATATCTGGGGGGAGGATTTCTTCAGAGGAACAATGGCTACCCTCTGCACTTCAATGTCTTCAGGCTCTCTGTTATGATCCCTCCGGACATGGACGTTTAAATCACCAAGATATTTGTATTTCTTCATGCAGTAGGGACACTTGAATCTTTTCTCTACTGAATGAACAGCCATGTGTCGACGTAAATCTGAAGGCCATTTTGCAATATAGGAGCAAAACTTGCATTTAGCCTTATCCTTCCAAGAACTCTGTGCTTTTGTCCAAGAAGACTCCCCACCAGAACTATCATTTGAATTTTCATTCTCAACTTGGATTGGGTTCTCTTTCATTTCCCGTAAGCTTGTGTTATGCTTAATCTTCATGTGACGACCAAGATCAGAGAGTCGTTTGTAGGACAATCCGCAGAGCTCACAACAATTACGATTTCCAGATCTTTTAGGATAGCCAGGAACACCTTCCGGAGCTCTAGGGTCATATTCCTCGTCATCAACATCCAATGCCTCTTCTTCCTCCTCCATCTCCTCCTCCTCATTCCTGTCTACTGCATCATCATCCAAATCATTATCCTCAGTATTAACAATCTCGCTTCCAAATACTATCGATGCATTCTTCTCTGTCAAAGGATGATGATTGGTCATGTGTCTTTTCAAAGCGCCATCATGGCCAGTGGAATAACTACAAATATCACACTTGTATGGCTTATTTGCCTTATGATTCTCCATATGTCGGTCATAATTTGGTTTAAAGTCTGTCGCATACAAGCACTCGGGACACTGATACTGTGCTGAGGATGCTCCATGGGTAGTCTTGTGTTGGTAAAAGTCATTCTTACTCTTAGTTTTAAAGGGACAGATCCAGCAGCTGAAGGTCTTTGCTCCTGTGTGACAAGCTTTCACGTGCTTCACGGCCTGATGTCGATTCTTTCCACTGTACAGGCAGAGTTTACACTTGAACATGTCAGCTCCTGAGGATGTTTTAATCCGCATGATGTGAGGATAAGCCTTCTGTGGCAACGGTTTCTTCTTGATAGCCTTGCTCTTAGTTGATACCCTTGACAAAGCTTTCCTGAATAGCGATCCAGCTGTTTTTTCTTTACGACTGGACTTGTTGGATTGTGCTGCCTCAAGTTCACCCAAGACGCCTCCTTCCTCAAAACCATGAAGTAGTCGTCCTTCTGCCAGTTTCTCCTTGTGGGCAAACTGAATGTGCCGTCTCACTTTATGTTTGTACTTGGTTGCATATTCGCAAAATTGGCACGGGAATACGTTAATCTTGGCACCATGACTGTCAATTTGGTGATAAAGAAACATCTTCGACTTTGTCGTAGCATAAGTACACTGTGAACATCTGTAGTTTCTGTTGACCAATGGTGGTGGTAGTGAGGTCCCTGCAGAGCTTGGGGACATCGCCACGGCAACCTCTCCAGCATCCTCCTGCTCTTCCTGTCCTCCTTGTTCAATGCCTGTAGCATCTTGCTCTCCCTCAAAAGCATCCATGTCAGCTTCTGTTTTCATGTCCATGTCCCCTGCAATGTTTACTTCAGTGTTGGCTAGAACTGTTTTACGATGTTCGCGAGTACATCGGTTTTTATGGCGGCGGTATATGTACTCATTCTTGGTTGCGAAGTCACATAAGTTACACTTTATCAATGGAAGATTCAAACCCTTGGGTCTTCGCATGGCGGACTGGGAGTAGTCTCCCCTTACTGCATGCAGACACGGAGGGCCACGTCACCTGCAACAAAAGAAGAAATATAAGTTTCCTGACTGGAATCAAAAGACCATTTCATACTAACATGCACATGAATATTATTATCAAATATTTTGCCAAACTCATTTTTTTCAGCTTGGCTTTAGCTCCAAACTCTGGATTAAGATGAAATGCCTTATCTGCTACAGTTTACTGATACACCACAATATCTCGAGAATACACGTAAAACTGACCGTGCCCTAACATAACAGGAACACTGACTGAGTTTGGTTTTACGCCGCTTTTAGCAATATTCCAGCAACATCACGGCGGGGGACACCAGAAATGGTCTTCACACATTGTGCCCATGTGGGGATTTGAACCCGGGTCTTCGGCGTGACGAGCCAACGCTTTAACCATTAGGCTACCCCACCGCCCCCATAACAGGAAAAGCAATAGACACTGACGTATGTGGGATTAAACTTCTGAGTAAAGTACAGATGCACCTAGTCTGTCTCACAGTCACTGAACCACATTATTTTCCCTACTGCCAAGCCCTCTCTGCAGTGCTAAAGCCCTAAATAAAGCAACTCAGATTTCCTCGGGTTCTGAATCTCTGGTCTCCCTTGGGCTCCTTTTCAATTTAAATTGGCTTGTTTGTTACTATCAAACTTATATATATTCAGAGACTTAGCATTAGTCTAAGATTCACCCTCAGAGTCAGGCATCGAGGTGGCTGAGCAGGTTAGGTGGCTGACTTTGAGTGCTGGCAATTAGATGTCCGAGTTTGGGGTGTGGGTTCGAATCCCGGATGGGACTCAACCCAACAAAGTACTAGAATCTGTACTTTACTAAGAATTGAGCGAGTGAGTTTAGTTTTATGCCGCACTCAGCAATATTCCAGCTATATGGCGGCGGTCTGTAAATAATCGAGTCTGGACCAGACAACCCAGTGATCAACAACATGAGCATCAATCTGCACAATTGGGAACCGATGACATGTGTCAACCAAGTCAGTGAGCCTGACCATCCGATCCCGTTAGCCGCCTCTTACGACAAGCATGGGTTACTGAACATCAATATTCTAACCCGGAACTTCACGGGTACTTTACTAAGTGTAATCTCAAATATAACATTGTTACATTTGACCACTTTCTAAATGGCATTATGTATTCCCCTAAATAATGTACAACCTAAAGACCCACTAACACAATGACATTCTTCTATATGGTGACAAGACAAGATTGAAACTGTTTTATCTTTTCTCTGAGATGCAAATGATGAGCCTGCCAAGTCCCACAGGATGCAGCTAATTTAATTATGGCCATCCAGAGAAGCACGCATATCAAAATTCATTGTTCGATGTTCATTACTTAATCAATGCGCTGTTTCAAACAAGAAATGTCCAATCTATAATTAGAATAGGCTTCACAAGTTTTCCATTTGTTGTTGGTTCAGTAGACACTAGGGTTAGGTATTGCCAAAATGTTCGTATTGCGATATACTGCGATATCACGGACCTCTGTCAGGACTCAGATGTGATCATACAAGAGATCAATTGAAAATGTTTCCGAATCGAAGACTTAGCTCTAAAGTTCGGAGTCGAGAAAGAGCGTCTTCAGCGGCGTCCGCCCTTTTGGTTTGTTTATCCCTACAAAAGTGCTAATCTATTTTTTTTATTTATATGATTTAAAAATCAGGCAAATGCAATTAAATGACCAATAGACATCAAAACTATTAATGTACAATAATACAAAGGAAATACAAATGTTATTAGTATTTTCTACTACATCACCAAAATTACCGATCATTGTCGATCATATCGGGTGAACCGGTTCGTGGAAAGTGTACCGCAATATATGGTATTGTGAAGTTCGAATCACAATATACAGGTTAACCGGTATTATCACACACCTAGCAATCACCTTGGACCCACCTATAAGTATTCCTTGGACCCACGCCACCCTCCCATCTTTCGAGAGGGTAATTTGAATGGCTGTTTTTCGCTTGTGCTTTGGATGAGAAATATGTACTTGTCTGCTTCAGGCAAACCCAAAATATTCACCACTGACTAGGGCTGCGCAATATAACCAGATTACCGGTATATTAGGGGTGTCGCGATACGCGAATGTATCGATGCATCGATGCATTCTTACTGACGATACGATACGCAATACATGATTGGGTGTATCGATTCCTATTTTGAAACTTTATCGATTCAATTTTGTTATGCTATATCCATCTCCTTCAAAGTCTTGATAGTAAAATTATACGAGACCGCTCCGATAAATAGATGTAGCAAGCTTTACTTAAAAAATAGGCAGCAGGCGATAAAGTCACATCTCAGAGAGCTACACTGAGGCCTGACAACGTCAACATGTTGATTTTATTGAAGAAAAACCTCAGGAAGTGAAGTGATCAAAGTGATGAATGATTACAATGTGTTGTGAATTATGATCCTGTCAACTGTTGCAGTTCAAAATTCAAATAACTGTTGGTTGATTTTGTCAAATCTGACACTGGAGGCCTGGCTGAAGGCTGAATGTTTCATCATTAGATAGTAAAGATGATTATTTCTTATTAGTTTATTTATCGTCTGTGATAACAGTTTATCATTTGTCACTGTGACAATTGTGACTTGACAGACTTGCTGGGGCAATATATTCAGTTCTAAATTTATGTGCATTTATTCTATACTTGATATGATGTGACATAGGAGAGTACTGAAGAATACCAAAAACAGAACCATTTGGAGATGGTGGTTTTACTACTTTTTAATTTTTTAAAGTTAAGTTGGTTCATGTAAATTGTCATGAACATAAAGCATATTTATTATTTAACAACTACAGTCAAATCCCGATGAGTCGAATCGCTGGGGACCAAGTAATAAATTCGACTTATCCATGTATTCGAGACATAAGTATGTCTATGAGGGTAGAAAAAAGGATGATCCAGTCCTAATTCCTCCGCCTAAGCATTTGTTTATCTAATGATTTCCATATCAGTAATAGGGGCACCTTATCAGTTCCAGTCTGATTAGCACAGACAGTGATTTCCGTAAAATCACGAATCTGCCTTTTGAACTCACCCGTCAATGGCGGAAAGGTGTGTGCCGCGGTGGTTTGCTGATTGGATCAGTTTGCTACACAAATCAACTTCTCCTTGACTGACTTCGGCTTATGTATACAAGATTGCTGTTGTTTGAATCTCATGGGACCAACTTTCCTTTTCGAGTCATCGTGTGTATTTATGAGACGAATTCGTGTAACCGGTATTCAAATGATGACAACTATAACAGGGAATGGTCGGGACCGACAGCTAGTTCGAGTTATGCATAATATTCGAGACACCGGCATTCGACTGTATTTTCCATTGAGTCAATTGACACTATATAACCTGATTGCTGATTGCTTAAGTATTATTTTTCATTTTATGTGTTTTTGTGACACAGTATAAGATCAGTTATATTACTTGTGACTTATTCAAAGTTTATATTTGACAGACTTACTGCCAGTTGCAGGTGCAGATCATTTATTTATTTTTACTTTGAAACTGGAGACAATTGGAAGAGTTATTTCCACAGTTACCAAATTTACCCTGATAAGACTGATACATTTTATTTCATCATGAATCATGATGATAATGATGACAAGCATACCTGACAAGTTGGACATACAAAAGGGAACCTTGGGACTTTGGTTTTATTTTAACTTGAATAAAAGTTTTCTGAGAACATATGCATACTTATTGAGTTATTAGCAAAACTAACATGATTGTTATAAGAATTTATTAGTAAAGTATCTCAGATTTACATCCCTCTTTAAGCAGCTCTCCGGAAAAAAGGCGCAAAAATTATGTATCGCGATACGTATCGTATCGTGACCTTAAAATCGTGATACGTATCGTATTGTGAGATTGGTGTATCGTGACACCCCTACAGTATATACCGGTTCAGACACGAGAACGATACGTATCGTGACACGTTGATCGAAAACCGTTATTTTGACATTCATTCGGAAAACTTTATAACACTCGGAAATCTTTGGATTTTTCCATTTTTCACACCAGAACTCATGCTTGTGTTGTAAAATGGCGACCCCAACAACGAACAATTTATTGTGGTGCCAAATACTAGGGCAAAGGCATCGGTAAGGCAGCATTTTGGGTTGACAAAGTTCACGGTAGATGGAACTATAGATAAGAGGAATGCGGTATGTAAAACATGCAATGGTAAAGTAAATTAAAAGTTTTTATTAAAGTTTAATCAAGAATAGTGATTTTGTTGGGTTTTTGCTTTATAAATCAAGCATTAATTTTTTGCAATATATTGCAATAAATATCACAATATATGCTTTCGCATCGCAATATATCGCAATATGAAAATTCTCTGCACTCCCACCCCTACCACTGACTATACTAAACTATATCAGGGCTACAGATAAGGGGCGTACAGGCGTAATGTACGCCTCAAAATCAATTAAGTACGACACAATATAAGATTTTAAGCGTATCGTGTACGCATATAAATACCTTCGTACGTCTAACATTTAATTTCTGTGCGTATCGTGCAAATGGTAATCTATTTCGGATAAATACTTGTTGTCAAGAGTTTCTTTGCGAAACCCAGACAGTAGGAATCCCTTGCGTTGCCATGCAACGATATGCGTCACTATTTTTCGATTGGCTAAAAACTACACTGTTCCTATTAATATCCAGTTGGACCAGACATTTCGCGCATCACACAGTCGCTCAGTTATTTCTCACGCGTCTTCAAATACGAATACATGGTTGGAAATAGTGATCGATGAATCGTCCAGACAAACCACATCAACTCGCTCACACAAAAACATGTCAGTACTCCTTCAAAATTCTCAGTACACCTCCACTTGCAATATGATGTGTAAGTACACTCACACCCCCAAAAGTTATCTGGAGCCCTGCTATATCAAACATACAGAAAACCTTCAGACAAGAATAAATGTCTGTTTTTTCATAGGGTTGCCTATTTGCTATCAAGGTCAGGATAAGGGGCAACAGCATGAACATCAATCTTCGCACAGGAAATGACAGAAATCCTGATAGTTGCCTCGTATGACAAGCATGGGTTGCTGAAGACCAATTCTAACCCAGATCTTCATCATGGCTAGTTATTCTGTGCGAACCTAAAACTGATTTTTCTTTTTGCCCACTCAGTTCATGTTACAAGTGATTTCAATCAGATATGGTTTTACACCATCTTGGAATATATTACCTTACGTAGTAAATTCTTAAAATGGTGAACATTAAAGCACATTTATTGTTAAAAACATACATGTGTGTGATACTGACTGTGATATGGGTACCTATGGGAGGATACAACAGTGAGTCAGGATGACTTTCATAACAGCCATTTGTCCCAGCAATGCATATTTCTGTACTGTTTCTGATGACCGATGGGTTATCAGGGCACTTGATTTCAATAAATCAAAAGTTGCATTGTAAATCACATGCTTTTATTAGCCCAGTGTATATACATTTTTATTCAAGGCAGGTAACTCCTGTCCTTAGTTGTTTTTGCATACCGCTGAAACAATAATACCGCTAATAGAGTTGTAACAGTACAATTTTGTTCTACAAAACACCTTCAACAAATATTTGTTTGTTTCTACTGCCACTTTCACATACATTCACATACTGTAGACCGGAGCAACAAATACAGATGAATTTCTGCGTCATATACCCATAAAAATTGACAATGGACACAACAAAATTTATTACCGCATCCATATGTGGATGCAGAAAAAGTCCAAATACTTTTTGTAAAAATTACAATCAAGTAACAATAAGTTATCACTGAGTTTGCTACTAGCTGAGTTATGGTAACATTTGCAATTTGATTACTGTAACAATTTAAGTGAGTGAGTGAGTTTAGTTTTACGCCACGCTCAGCAATATTCCAGCTATATGGCGACGGTCTGTAAAGTAATCAAGTCTGGACCAGATAATCCAGCGATCAACAGCATGAGCATCGATCTGCGCAATTGGGAACCGATGACATGTGTCAACCAAGTCAGCGAGCCTGACCACCTGATCCCGTTAGTCGCCTCTTACGACAAGCATGGGTTACTGAAGGCTCATTCTAACCCGGATCTTCACGGGTCGTAACAATTTAAGTGATGATCATGATCCACAATACAATAACAGTATTAATAATAATATTTAAGTGTCTGGGACCCCCATTTTGTTGTCCAGGACCCCTGAAAATTAAGAGTTTGAGTTCAAGGGACCCTCAAATACAGGACTCGAGGTATATCCCTGGGCTTCATTTCATGACATTAGTGGTTTCGGTATCCGCATGTGCAACATTTTTGTCATGTGCATCTCGACAGACTGCATTGAGCACATGAATGTCAAAAACCGCTTCTGATGTGTTTACTCATGTTATGATAAGGGATATTGTGACTGACAAACTTGACATTTTCGAATGATGGCTTGGGTTTAGGATAAAGTTCTCTTTTATAAGTTTAACAATTGTTCAAGTGATATTGATACAACAACAGAAGTCCGAAAACCCATAACATGGATATATCCGTTAACGTAATACATCAGACTGCCTCTACTATGATGTAGAAGAAAACATGGCAGGTGAGAGAGGCGAAGGTCAGTGGTTAGATTCCTGCCACGTCATAAAAAGAAACCTTTAATGAAGGTACTGGTTACCTTGGCATTAAATGAAGAAGGCAAGGACAGATAGTCTGTCATACATATTAAACTCCTAGTTTGCTATCTCAGTGAACCAGGACAACAAGACTGACATTAGTAGTGGTGGGCAAGATGGCTAAGGGGCCATGCTAGTGATCCAGACAGACAGACAGATAATTTATTAACGTCTCACTGCATGTACAATATTTAAAAAATAGACAAAATAACAAATGACCTGTAAAAGCACATGCACCATTCCTTATGGAATTATGAGAGACTAAATCTAAAATATATACAAGCTACTAAAAGTCATAGAAAAAACGTTTGTGCTAAAAAAGAAAATTAAAAAATATGTCTATACACAATTTAACTGCTATACAGCAACCATCGCCTTCTAGATAGACTAAGGCTTTGGCAACACTACTAACAACTTCACAATTTGACATTAAAAAACAAAATTTCTGTTCTTCGGTAAGATTGAAAAATTCACCATAGATAGTACAAATACTGGTAAACAATTCCGATCGCAGGTCATCGTACATCGAACACTTCAGTAAAACATGCACTTCATCTTCAATTCAGTTATCATTGCACAACGGACAGGTGCGTTCTTCCACAGGTAATTTTTCATAACGCCCCGTTTCAAGTCTAATTGGAGCAACCCCACATCTAAATTTGGAAAAAGCGCTTCTATAACATCTTGGCATAAGAATATCAACATATTTTTCAGTAAAATAACCAGTTTTAAAAAGTTTATATGTACGTAATTTACCAGTGGTATTGGATACATACAGCAAGCTTGAGGTGTCGGGGATCAAGCCCACCTGTGACCAGGTGTAAAAACCTTACGAGTCTTTGTGTGCACACTCTTTCAGTGTTGTCACAACCCCTAGTGTACAGTACACAACCCTGTGCACTTAAAAGAACCCACGAATCCGTTGATATACAACCATATGGTGGCCACATGAATACATGCAAACACCTAGTTGAGGGTACAGCAACGTGCAGTAAACTTGGACAAAGTACTGTAACTATGTGTCCCAGTCCACCCAGCTGTGAATGGGTACCATGTAAGGATGGGAAAGCCGCAATAACTCAGTGTGCCTAATGTCTGCAAGAGTTGTATACTGCCCAGGGAGTTGAGATTGATAATACGATGTGCCCTTGAGATTGACATCCAATGACAGAGAAAAAATACCAGCGCCTTGAGCATGTACTAGTTGCGTGGATATGTGCGCTATGTAAATAGCCTATAATAATAGCAGTATTAGCTGAACAGACACATGCATTCACTTCACTAAATATGTGCAGTTATTTTCAACACGCCATGAAACCCCACTTCCATAAATGTACCCTTAGACAATGACAGGACTCCCATATACCAAGATTGTTAGGCTGTTGACTGTCAAGAAAGAAATCCACTTGACAAGGAAGAAAATATAGACATATATATATTTGATGAGAGAAAAAATTGTTTAGCGTTTCACTATAACAGAACACTTCTTGGTAAATGATAATAGTAGCACCATACTTCCGACACTGTGAAAATGTAGCCATCTGGCTTACAGCCAATGTCCCACTTCGGTTTCAGTGATAACTCCAGGCTCGGCTAGTAAAACTCACTGCTTTTAGCTTGGCACTCGTGCATAGTTGCACTCGCTATCCGCATCAATTGCTAGCTCGACGGAAGAAAATCAGCACCCCACAAAGCATTGAAACACACATAACAACGTTTCAGGAGATATCTGAGCAAGTTTGAGACCGTGCCGTGTTTGGGGCGGGTCTGTATACACGTGGGGCTGAACAATGGTTGAACACGGAACTTGCCATCGGAGGCCATCTTGGTAGCTCGCGAAGAAACACCCAGTTGCCAACCGATCGAAAGAAACAAGCGATTTCTCTAAAATCAACTCACCAAGTAGATTAAAACTTCACATAGACCGGCAATGAACCTTGCTGAGTATGTCTGTATGGTTAGATTTGCTGACAAAGCGCTGTTTGCTTCGCGACGGGCGTCTACATTCAACCGTAGGCACCGCAAATCGCAAGCAGACACTTCTGGGCTGTGCGCTGGAAAGGGGTCAATTGAGCCTGCTACATATTCATGAGCTCGCGGCGATTTGCGGAAAGCGTCTGTCGCATGTGTTCTGTGGGACTATAGGTTTCCTGGCGGAAGAGGGGTTTTGGGACAGAAAGAATCCCGACCAACAATTCATCGATTATAATCTTTTATTACCATAGAGCTGGCCTGAATTTGCTGCAAAAGTTTATTTTGTAACAATTTTTATATTTTGGCGAAATATATTATCTAATCTTTTAGAGATTGGACCGTCAGGACCATTGGCAAGTGTTACGAAGAGAACGTTTGACACAAAGAGATTGTGATAGCAGCGGCATATATTGTGCCCACTGACCAATATAATGAAAGCGGAACTCCCCAAGGTTATGCTGTACGTATCATTTGTGACGTATGTCCAGTATCTGAAACACCTGTTATTATTTCCTCTTATAAAATGTCAAAAATCAACTTTATTTTAAAAAAATTATGTAACCACTTTTCATTTAAATTTATTTTTCAAAATGTAAACATAGCTATATTTCTCAGTTTACAAACATCAGTAGCTAAACAATCAGTGGAACGGTCGATACAAATCAATGCCTTCATGTACACTACTCAAAGGAATTAGGGGCGGTGGGGTAGCCTAATGGTTAAAGCGATGGCTCGTCACGCCGAAGACCCGGGTTCGAATCCCCACATGTGCACAATGTGTGAAGCCCATTTCTGGTGTCCCCCGCCGTGATGTTGCTGGAATATTGCTAAAAGCGGCGTAAAACCAATCTCAGTCAGTCAAAGGAATTAAAGGAACGCATTTTCTAAAGTATGAGTATGTTTAATCTGTCACGACATATTATAACTCTACTTTAAATTATTTTGAGCAGTATATATTGGCTCGTATTCAACGGGCGATGGATGAGAGACATTTCTGAGCTATTTCATATGCATGGGTAATCTGATCGATCTGGACTTTAGGCTATACCAATACGCGCTATAGAGTAAAGATATATTGCAAGTTGTCACTGATTGTGATGACCCGGATGTGTCTCAGAGGGAGATACAAATTATGGTTGGTGTTTTAGTACCATTTAGCATTCAAACATAGGCACGTCATCCTTATTAAAAGTATATACCATGCTCATATGAGGCATAAATGGGCCTGTTATTGCTGATGTTATATAGTATAATAAAGTATATACTACAACGGTCTGTTTGTGTGTAGAAATTCCTTTTGATTGTAGAAATGAATTTGTGGCTTTCATTTTCCATCACCCTGATAAAATGGACAAAGGTTTGTATTCAGCTTGCTTATATTTCATTATTCACAAACGGATACTTCCTGTCCTTACCTGATATAGAGAGAGTTGTTTATTATTATGTGATATATCACCATTTTATCGCCATCTATAAACGTTACTTGTTATTATCATGATATGTTATCGCCATTATCTCTTATTGTTCAGATAATTATGATAATATTTATGATAATAAGCAATGTCATTCTTAGGAAGCAGAAGGACTGAAAAACGCTAAAACATTTCATGGCATTTATGTTCAGTATGAATGCAGAATATCAAACCCGGTGTTATCATATAGCACGAGCCTGGTGGTTTGGTAGGTTTGTAGGAAGACAGATTGGTAGATCAGTAGATTGTTGACTGGTTGATTAATAGAGATTAATATATAGATTGGTATGCTGGTAGACTGGTAGATTGATATAAGCGGATCCAGGGTGGGGGCGGGGCACCCCTTTGTCCTGAAAGTTTATTAAATGACCATTAAAACTCGGGTGAAAATGAAGTGTAAATTAACGCACTTACAAAGTAAATTATTAGATAGATTGGTAGATTAACCCACTTAACAAAGTAAATTATTAGATAGATTGGTAGACTGGTAGATAAGTAAATTAATAGATAGATTGGTAGACTGGTAGATAAGTAAATTAATAGATAGATTGGTAGGCTGGTAGGTTTAAGTGCGCTAGATGCTTACACAAGCAGTTTTGAATAAATTAGCCATTCAGATCCAAATAACCACGGTTACAACCAACTCCATCTCGACCATCAATTCGTTATGTCCGAAGTTCGTTACTCATCATCAATAACGATGGTTACAATTCACTCTACGAATTACTTGACCCCTGGGGATTCGGGGTTAAAACAGATCCCCAGCAACCTGTGCTGATAGTACCACGTGACTAAATAGAGTAGTGGTCATTTGATTGATTGCGTGTCATAATGATATCCCGGGTCGTGAACGCTGCTCAGAATATCAGTCACTGGGTTGTCTGGTCCAGAGTGGATAATTTGCAGGAGACCGTCATGTATATGAATATTGCTGAGTGCGGCATTAAAACAACGCCTAGTACCAAGCGTTAGAATATGGTTCGTAAATGCTGATTATTCGATACAACCAACATTCTTTATCTAATACTATATCTACAAGATGCCTTCATCAAAAAATGCAATTATTATGACATTTCCTCGTACATGTATTTCAAAAGGAACATGATTGAAATATATATATTTTTTAAACATATATGCCCTTCTCAAATAGAAGCTCTAAAACATTTATAAACATCGTGTTTCACCCCAAAAAACACAGTATATGGTCCATTGGCACACATTTCTTTAAAAAACCCACAATAGTATGACACGGCGCGCTATTGCCTACAATGACCTTTTCAACTTGCGTGCTAGTGAGTCTCCCAGACCATTGGGAATACATTAAAACCCATCTCAATTCTTGAACGGCTTGGCAAGTCTAGATTTCCTCAGCTCAAGGCATTAAGCATTTGGTTTTTACTAAATATTTTGTTGATTTATATTTTTATATAAGAAAACTCTATTTCTGGGACAGATGTTAGCATAATGACCAATGAGCCGTTGTAAACCGGGCATCGTTCTTTCCTTGATGTACAATGTTGGGAATAAAGACCGATATAATCTGTTTGACTGTCATTTTAGAAGTTGATGACTAATAATAAAGGTATGATAAAGAAGTTGTTATCCATAAAGTATCATACTTTTCTTAAGTACGATGTGTTGCTCTAGATCCCTAACTTAACGCTGTCTCTGAATACATATAAGTTTGACAGAAACAAACAAATCCTTTTAGACTGAAAAGGAGTCCCAGTGAGATTGAGAACCTGAGGAAATCTAGACTTGCTTCATTTAGAGTTTTAGGGTTTCAGAAAGGGCGGGTAGAAGGGAAAATAATGTGGTTCAGGGGCTGTAAGTTTGACTACTAGATCCCCACCATTTCTGTGCCAGCAACACGTGTCCATACAACCAGACATGTTCACCTGGTCCCCGTTAAATTGTTCATTTAGTTTGCCGTGACAGCTGGGTATCGCGGCAGACATACACATCCAGCGCGGTGTGTGGCTCTAATGCAACCCAGCGTGAATGGGCATCAAAATGTATCTCGTTCAAGGAAGTTGATCGAAATCGATATGATTGTATTGTTTGACCGTATGTCTCTTGTCAATTACCACGTGTTGCATAACTGTAGACTTTATTTGTCAAAGAGAAATTATTGAAATACTGACTTTGCTTCAATATACTACTACTGCTGTTGCCGCTGCTGCTACTGCTGCTACTACTACTACTACTACTGCTACTACTACTACTACCGCTACTACTACGACCACCCTACTGTCACTACTACTACCACTGCTGCTACCACTACTACTATTATCACTACTACTACTACTACTACTACTTCAAATACTGATACCATATATACAGCTACTGTACCCCTCCCCCCCCTTTCAAAATTCCTGGATCCGCCCATGAAATGGATAGCTGCCCAACAGCCATTTGTGCAATACAACACAGTCCAACAGCAATATGTGCAATACAACACCATCCAACAGCCATATAGCTAGTTGGTCATCCAACAGCATATGCGCAATACAACACCATCCAACAGCCATATAGCTAGTTGGTCATCCAACAGCCATATGCGCAATACAACGCCACTCAACAGCCATATAGCCAATACAACGCCACCGACAGCCACATGTGCAATACAACGCCACCAACAACCATATGTGCAATACAACGCCATCCAACAGCCATATAGCCAGTAGGTCTCCCAACAGCCATATCGCCAATACAACGCCACCAACAGCCATATGTGCAATACAACGCCATCCAACAGCCATATAGCCAGTAGGTCTCCCAACAGCCATATGTGCCATACAACGCCACCAACAGCCATATGGCCAATACAACGCCATCCAACAGCCATATAGCCAGTAGGTCTCCCAACAGCCATATGGCCAATACAACGCCACCAACAGCCATAATGTGCAATACAACGCCATCCAACAGCCATATAGCCAGTAGGTCTCCCAACAGCCATATGGCCAATACAACGCCACCAACAGCCATATGTGCAATACAACGCCATCCAACAGCCATATAGCCAGTAGGTCTCCCAACAGCCATATGGCCAATACAACGCCACCAACAGCCATATGGCCAATACAACGCCATCCAACAGCCATATAGCTAGTTGGTCATCCAACAGCCATATGCGCAATACAACGCCACTCAACAGCCATATAGCCAATACAAAGCCACCAACAGCCATATGTGCAATACAACGCCATCCAACAGCCATATAGCCAGTAGGTCTCCCAACAGCCATATGTGCAATACAACGCCATCCAACAGCCATATAGCCAGTAGGTCTCCCAACAGCCATATGGCCAATACAACGCCACCAACAGCCATATGTGCAATACAACGCCATCCAACAGCCATATAGCCAGTAGGTCTCCCAACAGCCATATAGCTAGTTGGTCATCCAACAGCCATATAGCTAGTTGGTCATCCAACAGCCATATGCGCAATACAACGCCACTCAACAGCCATATAGCCAGTAGGTCTCCCAACAGCCATATGTGCAATACAACGCCACCCAACAGCCATATGGCCAATACAACGCCACCAAACAGCAACAATACAACGCCACCAAACAGCAACAATACAACGCCACCA